GTGGAGTATAAGAACAAAGAAAAAACTGAAGAAGCAAAACAGCAGCAGAATCACAGAACCCAAGAAGGGACTAACAGTTACCAAAGGGAAAGGGACTGGGGAGGATGGGTGGGAAGGGAGGGATAAGGGGTGGGGGGAAGAAAGGGGGCATTATGATTAGCACGTATAATGTGTGTGGGGGGGCATGGGGAGGGCTGTGCAACACAGAGAAGACAAGTAGTGATTCCACAGCATCTTACTATACTGATGGACAGTGACTGTAATGGGGTATGTGGGGGGGACTTGGTGATGGAGGGAGTCTACTAAACATAATGTTCCTCATGTAGTTGTGGATTAATGATACAAAAAAAAAAAGAAACTGAACATATGGCCACTCTGATTACAAATGCAACTGTGGAAGACAAAGCAAGCCTTGAAGATGATGTTAGAAAATATCCTAAAGCCCTTGAGATAAGGAAGGATTTCTACAAAAAGTGTAAAAAGCACCAGTGTTAAAGAAAAAGATTGATAAAGAAAGAATTCCTGCCAATTAGTGAGAAAAAGACAGACATCTAAATTGATAAAAAGACAAAGGACTTGAAGAAGCACTTAAGAGGAAATCCAGGCGGCCAATACACTTAGTGCTTCTGCCGAGCAGTAAGCAGGGGAATGCACAGCAGATCCGCAAGGAGAGCTGCCTACCCGACAGGCTGAGTGGAAGTACAGGCTGGACTCTTACTGGGGGAGTCCGGCCAATAGGATCTTGGGAGGCTAAGATAGGCCCACACTGTGGTCTGCAGGGCCTTAGATGACACCAGGAGCACATCCATTCTTAGCAGCATTGTTTGTAACAGCCCCATGTGTCCCTCTGCAGTGGGAGAGAGAAATAAACCTGTATAGTCAAATGATGGGATAGTATTGGTAATAAAATGAATGAAGTACAACCAAATGCAACAAAATGGATGAACCTTGAACATACGCTGAGTGAAAAAAAAAACAGACCCCATATGTACGGTGCTGTTTATGTGATTTCAAAAATAGACAATAACTTAATTGTAATGTTTGAGGATATATGTTCACGGACAAGTAAGTGATTACTGATGTTACTGGAACAACCAGGATGTGTCCACCTTTGGGGCCCCTTGGGATTGCTGCCAATGTCTTAGTTCGTGACCTGGGTGGTGGTTACAGAAGTTTTGCTTTATAGTAATTCACAATTATGTCATAGACTTTCCCTGGGTACTATGTTTTATGATTTAAAAAGATTTCTATGAAGGACCTGAAAGCGATTATTGTAGTTTTACACATATGGAATCACCTACTAGTGACAGCATCACATAGGATTCTTTAATAATGCTGTATCCCAAACAATCCAAAAAAAAAGACAAGATGGTGAGGGCACAGAGGGCTCTGGGATGATGATGGCACTGATGTCAAGGTGAATAGAAGTTTGAGTAAAGTCACTTCTAGGAGAGTAAGAGTGAAAAACATTTTCTAAAGGTATTTCATACAAAATATGATTTGAAATAGGCACCTCAGGCCAAATTAGTAGATATTATAAATAGACATCCATTTCATTTTCATTCTCAAAAAGTCGAGCCCAAGTTGATCACATCTTTTGCTGGAGTGCAGTCCACATCTGGGCAGCCCTAGGAGCTGGGCTCAGCCCCTCTGGACGGAGCACAGAGATACAGGGAGGCAAAGCAGTTCGCCAGTGCTCCATAGCTAGTTGGAATTCTGGGCTGCACATCAGAACGTGAAAGGGAATTCATGGGTATTGTGTAGCTCACAGGGAACCAGGCTCAGAACATAGGTGGAGTCCAAGGGCACAGAGCCAGAACCACTGCGCCGGGCCTGCCGTGGCAGCCATCTGACCAGCTGTGGGCAGAGACAACATGGGCCCCGCCTGCTGGCCGTGGCTGCCATGGATGGGGTGCATTCCAGTCTGCCTGTTCTATTTGTCACTCACTGCAGACCCGAAGGCCCAGGCTTGAGTATCCTGTTGGCCAACACTGAGTACTTTGCCCATGTCTTAGGAACTAGGGGTTTGCAGGAACAAGGATCTTGTCTTTTAGTGTCCCTACCAAGACCCCCAGATTTCCCAGGCAATGGAAAGTAGTTCACACACAGAACAGTCAAAAATCATCATTGTCCCATTAGATCCAGTTAGTGGGCTGGGACTGATGTCTGGGACTACATGAATCTCTACCGTCCCGTCCCTTCTGCCTGCTTCGGATCTGGGGGCTGAGATGGGTGACAAGTACCAGTTACCAGGGGCAGTGTCCTCACCCCTTGCATAGTTGCTGGTGCCCCTTCCCTAGTGAACAGAAAGCTCTCCCTCTGCTGGACTGGGTGGCTGCAGGCAGGAGCCCCCTGAGGTCACCCCACAGGACAGTCAGTCCTGACAGCAGCTCTTCAGTTCCACCCATGCCCGTAAGCGGCAGGACGGAGGATGGTGCGGGCCCAAGTAAAACACCTGCCGGGTTCCCGTGCAAAAGAACTCGTAGCTTCACCTCAATGCCAGCTGCATTGCACAGCTGCCTTTAATGGCCTCAGTGTAAAACTTCTGAGTTCCTATTTCTGGCTCTTTTGTGTTTCCAAGTAAATGTTTTAGGGATGAATTACTTTGTGCACTACCTTTTCCCAGTTTATATTTTACAGTTGTCACTCTTTCTGTCTAAATGATGAAGATCATCAGTTAAAGGAAGCTTTAGGAATGCCGTTTGGGATTGTTTAACAAGCTACTTCACTGACTGGTATAGTTCTGTAGGCGTTGTCAGTTGACAAATGCTGGAGAATGGTCACAGATCCTCTGGACAGATAGTGGAAGTGATTTGCAGAAACTAGTATGTGTGCTCATGCACCTGCGGGGGAAAGAGAGGGAGGGAGACAGTCAATTTGATTGAGGTGTGGAGAGGTTTCCATAGGCAGCCAAAGATAAATATGTCTCCTGATCCAAAGGAAGTCAAATTAAGAAAAATTTAATGAAGGAAATCTCTCCAGAAACCAAAAAGGGCCATGGCAGGGACTGGAGTGCCAGGGATCCCTGACCAGGGCCTCTGGACCTCCAAGAAGGCTGGCAAGCTCAACCCAAAGCCATGTGAGGCATCTGCTGTCCCAGGTAGAAGGGAGTGAGTTGGACAGTCGTGTGCGCAAGCCAGGTGGCTGTGAGAGCCCAGACCATTGTCCTCATTGACCAAGGATGAACCTGGCATGACAGGGCAGGTGCAGAGACCACTGAGAGGAACCTCAGGCCCCAAAAGCCTATTCTCTTAATCCCAGCTCTCTACTGCCTCTCAGCAGTTTCAGGATTTCTCTGAGGAGGCGACATTTTAGCAGAAGCCTGAATAAAGGAAAGGAGTGAGGTCCTGGATCTCCAGGAGAGTGAACAGAAGGAGCATCGAGTGCAAAGGCCCAGGACCAGGACCAGCAAGGAGGCCAGGGTGGGTGGAGCTCAGGAAACAGGAGGCTGAACTGAGCTCAGAGAGCCTGGAGGGAGAGGGCCTTTGGGGTATTGGCAAAGCCACAAGTTCATGATGAAATGCCTCCGGGATAAGTTACCAGGAAGTGTACACAGGGTAGTTGTAAGTGCAGAAGGGTGAGTAAAAGATTATGTTTAATTTCCACTGATTTCTTTAAGTAGGTGTGGCAGGCAGACCCTAGGTGTCCCCCATGGTCTCTGTCCCTGGTATAATCTGTCCCTTCAATGTGGGCTGACCTGTAACTTTCTTCTGGCTAGTAGAATACTGCAGAGGTAAAGGGATTTTGCAGGTGTGAGGAAGAATCCAAATCTTTTGATTTTGAGTAATCAAAAAGGAGACTATCCTTGGGCAGCCTCAAGGATCTGAGGATAGACAACAGCCAGCAAGAAGCTGGGGCCCTCAGTCATCAGCTGGAAGGAAATTAATCCTGCAACAACTTGAAGGGGCCTGGTAGCAAATTCTTCCCACTTATGCATCCAGGTGAGAACAGCCTGGCCCACACCTTGACTGCAGCTTCGTGAGACCCTGAGCAGAGAACCCAGCTGAGCTGTGCTGCCTCCGACCCACGGACACTGAGAAAATAAATGTGCTGTTTGAAGTTGCTAGATCTTCAGTACTTGTATGGGATAGAAAACAAATACAGCGAGAGACTGCCAACATATATATGGGTATGTTGTTTCCCCTGATTATAAAGTGAGGCTGTTTATTTGTTTCTAAGTAGAAAGAGGCAGACACAGGGACCAAGGAACAAAGCCAGGGGCCCAGAGAAAGCAGGAACTGTCAGCACTTGGGCCTCCTCTTTGGGGCCTGCAACCCCGGGGAAGTATCAAAATAAATATAGTGGTAACCCTAGAGAGGTATTTTTTTTAAACAGAGGAACAGTGAAGTTGTTAGTTAAATCCATAAAATTGATATTTAGATAAGAAATCAGTTCTGTAGACATTACATAAAGATATACTTTATTTGCTAAGATGTTTGCAATATTCAAAAGAATCAACCAGTGCTAGATTTATAACTGCAGGTTAAATTGTTTAAGAGAATGATTTTATTTGTAATTGTTTTCAGATGTGAAAAAAACTGATTGGTAACAGTTGGTTCACTAAAGGGAAGAGCTTAAATTGAACACTAAACAAAACGTAGGGAGTGTGGACATCCTGTCTGTGCCAGATGCTCCCGGGACAGTGAGGAACCTCATCAACAAGGGAAAAGGATCTGGGTTCCGGAGTCTGAGTGGGGGGCCCTGTCTCCTACCAACAGGGCCATCTGTGGCATTGTAATAAGACAGAGGACAGAGATCATGGATATCTTGATGGAGGTGCAAAGATCTCCCAGTGAAAAACACAAAACTCCCAAAAATGCATAGAATGTCCATGTGAGAAAAAGTCAACTTTAGGGAATTACATGACTGGGTCCACTCTGAACCCCAGCCCCATGATCCCTGTGGGGGTGGGGTGCTGCCATATTTTACCTAATAAATGCTGGGTGTGCCAATGCCTTGTGCAAGGTCCCCAGGCAGCACCTAGTGTTCAGTGCACACATCGCCTCATGGACTCTCCCAGAAATCCGATGAAGTGATGTGGGTGTTATCCCATCTTACAGATGAGGAAACTGAGTCACAGGTGGGCCCCCCCTAGTTAATAGATAAGGAATAGGAGGACCAGAACCCGGATAGTCTGACCTCTAGAGCTTAATCAGAAAGCTGCAGGGGAGTCCTCCCAACCGTGCTGGCTCCACCGGGGGATAAGGACAGGTCCAGAAACAATATGAATACCAAGAACTAACGTTCCCATTACTTTGTGCACTACCTTTTCCCAGTTTATATTTTACAGTTGTCACTCTTTCTGTCTAAATGATGAAGATCATCAGTTAAAGGAAGCTTTAGGAATGCCGTTTGGGATTGTTTAACAAGCTACTTCACTGACTGGTATAGTTCTGTAGGCGTTGTCAGTTGACAAATGCTGGAGAATGGTCACAGATCCTCTGGACAGATAGTGGAAGTGATTTGCAGAAACTAGTATGTGTGCTCATGCACCTGCGGGGGAAAGAGAGAGAGGGAGACAGTCAATTTGATTGAGGTGTGGAGAGGTTTCCATAGGCAGCCAAAGATAAATATGTCTCCTGATCCAAAGGAAGTCAAATTAAGAAAAATTTAATGAAGGAAATCTCTCCAGAAACCAAAAAGGGCCATGGCAGGGACTGGAGTGCCAGGGATCCCTGACCAGGGCCTCTGGACCTCCAAGAAGGCTGGCAAGCTCAACCCAAAGCCATGTGAGGCATCTGCTGTCCCAGGTAGAAGGGAGTGAGTTGGACAGTCATGTGCGCAAGCCAGGTGGCTGTGAGAGCCCAGACCATTGTCCTCATTGACCAAGGATGAACCTGGCATGACAGGGCAGGTGCAGAGACCACTGAGAGGAACCTCAGGCCCCAAAAGCCTATTCTCTTAATCCCAGCTCTCTACTGCCTCTCAGCAGTTTCAGGATTTCTCTGAGGAGGCGACATTTTAGCAGAAGCCTGAATAAAGGAAAGGAGTGAGGTCCTGGATCTCCAGGAGAGTGAACAGAAGGAGCATCGAGTGCAAAGGCCCAGGACCAGGACCAGCAAGGAGGCCAGGGTGGGTGGAGCTCAGGAAACAGGAGGCTGAACTGAGCTCAGAGAGCCTGGAGGGAGAGGGCCTTTGGGGTATTGGCAAAGCCACAAGTTCATGATGAAATGCCTCCGGGATAAGTTACCAGGAAGTGTACACAGGGTAGTTGTAAGTGCAGAAGGGTGAGTAAAAGATTATGTTTAATTTCCACTGATTTCTTTAAGTAGGTGTGGCAGGCAGACCCTAGGTGTCCCCCATGGTCTCTGTCCCTGGTATAATCTGTCCCTTCAATGTGGGCTGACCTGTAACTTTCTTCTGGCTAGTAGAATACTGCAGAGGTAAAGGGATTTTGCAGGTGTGAGGAAGAATCCAAATCTTTTGATTTTGAGTAATCAAAAAGGAGACTATCCTTGGGCAGCCTCAAGGATCTGAGGATAGACAACAGCCAGCAAGAAGCTGGGGCCCTCAGTCATCAGCTGGAAGGAAATTAATCCTGCAACAACTTGAAGGGGCCTGGTAGCAAATTCTTCCCACTTATGCATCCAGGTGAGAACAGCCTGGCCCACACCTTGACTGCAGCTTCGTGAGACCCTGAGCAGAGAACCCAGCTGAGCTGTGCTGCCTCCGACCCACGGACACTGAGAAAATAAATGTGCTGTTTGAAGTTGCTAGATCTTCAGTACTTGTATGGGATAGAAAACAAATACAGCGAGAGACTGCCAACATATATATGGGTATGTTGTTTCCCCTGATTATAAAGTGAGGCTGTTTATTTGTTTCTAAGTAGAAAGAGGCAGACACAGGGACCAAGGAACAAAGCCAGGGGCCCAGAGAAAGCAGGAACTGTCAGCACTTGGGCCTCCTCTTTGGGGCCTGCAACCCCGGGGAAGTATCAAAATAAATATAGTGGTAACCCTAGAGAGGTATTTTTTTTAAACAGAGGAACAGTGAAGTTGTTAGTTAAATCCATAAAATTGATATTTAGATAAGAAATCAGTTCTGTAGACATTACATAAAGATATACTTTATTTGCTAAGATGTTTGCAATATTCAAAAGAATCAACCAGTGCTAGATTTATAACTGCAGGTTAAATTGTTTAAGAGAATGATTTTATTTGTAATTGTTTTCAGATGTGAAAAAAACTGATTGGTAACAGTTGGTTCACTAAAGGGAAGAGCTTAAATTGAACACTAAACAAAACGTAGGGAGTGTGGACATCCTGTCTGTGCCAGATGCTCCCGGGACAGTGAGGAACCTCATCAACAAGGGAAAAGGATCTGGGTTCCGGAGTCTGAGTGGGGGGCCCTGTCTCCTACCAACAGGGCCATCTGTGGCATTGTAATAAGACAGAGGACAGAGATCATGGATATCTTGATGGAGGTGCAAAGATCTCCCAGTGAAAAACACAAAACTCCCAAAAATGCATAGAATGTCCATGTGAGAAAAAGTCAACTTTAGGGAATTACATGACTGGGTCCACTCTGAACCCCAGCCCCATGATCCCTGTGGGGGTGGGGTGCTGCCATATTTTACCTAATAAATGCTGGGTGTGCCAATGCCTTGTGCAAGGTCCCCAGGCAGCACCTAGTGTTCAGTGCACACATCGCCTCATGGACTCTCCCAGAAATCCGATGAAGTGATGTGGGTGTTATCCCATCTTACAGAAGAGGAAACTGAGTCACAGGTGGGCCCCCCCTAGTTAATAGATAAGGAATAGGAGGACCAGAACCCGGATAGTCTGACCTCTAGAGCTTAATCAGAAAGCTGCAGGGGAGTCCTCCCAACCGTGCTGGCTCCACCGGGGGATAAGGACAGGTCCAGAAACAATATGAATACCAAGAACTAACGTTCCCATGAAGACGCACCAAATGGGTGATGTGGGCACTCAGAGGAAGGAAAGACTGGCCTGCATGGAGGGTGCTTCTCAGGGCATGAGATCTGCTTGGATACGTGAAAGTGCTTGGATTGTGTGCCTGGACAGGGGGAGCTGAGCACAGTGGGCCTTAAGCACAAGTCTTCGGGTAGTTGGTGTGAGGGGCACAGAGAGGGACTGGGACTGGGAGGCAGCAGTGAGGCTTGTAGGCGACAGAGGCCAGGACTGGCAGACACAAGATGGAAAATAAGACTGTTTCTTCAGTAAGGCTGTTGTTTAGAAAAAGACTAGGGATCCTGGTTCCTGTATGAAGGCACACTCCGAAATAAAGAGGACTAAAGGTTGCATTAGGGAGAGCCCCAAAGGTACAAAATTATCCCATGACATCCAGTTACACTTTTTGTAATGACGCGAACTTCAGATAACAGTTCAGATTTGAAAATGGATTCTCAGGCAAGGTGGTAGGTACGTAGTGTGCATTTCACACCTGTGACAGTTTTTAACCTGCCACAGCCAAGCTGAAGTGCTAAAGGTCAGGGAACACAGGACGTGGCCTGGACAGAGTGGGCCCTGCCAGGCATCTCCCCCAGCCCTTTTCTGGGCCCTGACACCAGCCTTACGCACAGCCCGGAGACCCTCTGTCTCCTGGCAGAGGCGTAGAACTGCATTTACCTTTTCCTTAGGTCTGCGCTGGAACTGCAGAGGAACCTGACTTGGGAAAGTAAGGGAAAAGACCCCCAGAAATGAATGAACGGTGGTCTCATTTGAGGGGAGCTTGGTTGCTGGAATTTATGGGCCCATTCTTGCCTACTCACCGTTAAGGCCACAATCCTTGGTCCACCTGTGCCGACTGACACTTTTTAGGGACACAGGGCAAAGCCTGATACTGGGCCTGTGTCTTTGGTGTGTGGCTGGCTCTTCAGCCCGCTCCTCTCGTAAGTCATTGTTTTTATCAAAGATCCCCTTGGCGGTGGTATTAAATCGGCTTCTCCCTGAACCGTCCCAGCTCCTAGAGGCCACATGCGGTTGGTGGCGCCCTGAGCCTCTTCCAGTGGTTGGACTCTAGGCTCAGAACCTGAGACTCTTCGTGGCAAGGCCAGATTGGGAGGCTGCGCTCTGTCCCCTGTGGAGCCAGCCTGCCCGATTCCTCCCCCGCTTCTCTGCTGGCCATGGCCCTGCCCCTGTGGCCTTCCCCTTAGTCCCTCCTT